AAAAAAGGCTTCCGAAACCAGTTAACCAAAATGGAGCCGGGTTACCACTTTTCAAAACGAACGTTGTACTAGTCGTAATAATAGTAGGACTATAATCGTTAAATGGGTGGTGTCTTAGGGCCTAGAGGTAGCAGCACTTCGGCACTGAATTCACTACTGAAATGAGATGATTTCGATGCCAAGAGATCTTCAATTACTCCTAGAGTAAGGCGACTAGTACTGAATATGGCCACACGGCTCACCAGCGACAGTCAACCCCGAAACGTTTCATGCCTCCGCATACGATGTGCGATCCTGTCTTACGCGTTACGCACACAATCGGAAAGCCAACAACATGATCTCGTATTCGTAGGCCTAAATAGGCTAGATAGTCAACATCTCACGTATCGTTTAAAACCTGCGGCAATCTGCGCGCGATACGTTATTTATTACGGAAGCAGCACTTGAGACATTGAATATTTTCACTTATACAATAAATAAATAAATAAATTATAATATTAATTAAATAATTATAATAAGATCGTAATAATTATTTTTGTTCGTAGTCAAAACCCAACATCGTTTCCGCATGCATTTTAATACAATGCCAGCTGGAGAATTAAATGCTGTAATTACGTGAATCAACACACCTCGTCGACCTTTCTCTGATGCCCCGTTTTAACCCTTTTTTGTTTATCACGCCCAACCTCTACCTGAGAAATATTTTCTCGCAAGTCTAATTGCAAAGCAATTGCACATAAGCTGGACACAATCTTGCAGTCCTGGTCCTTATTTCTCACTTCCACTATTTTGGTGTGCTTTTTCCATGTCTTCTAAGGTAACTGATGCTGGCGATACAATTAAAATTAACAAGAGACGAAAAATACCAAAAAAGCAACAAAAATTTGAGCGACCAAAGCCTAAATGACTACCGTTACCTATAGAAACTCTTCTATGGTAGTATAGCTTAAAACAGTCACATTGAGTTAGAAGGGGTACATCATAGAAACTGTGCAGGCAGACGGAACAATGGTTTAAGCAGGTTCAAGAGGAGAAGACCCAAATCTGAGATCTGGATTGAACTTGTTTCCCGTCCGTTTTGTTAGATCTTCTTTGATCACAGCAAAGGGAAGTAAAAGAATGATATGGCATCGTTTGGCAGAAAGCCAACAGCTTGCTATAACATAGGACAACAGTAGTTTTTTTGTAATCGGTGTGGCTGCATGGAAGGACGGCGGTTTAGAAGGTAAGGCTCGAATATGTTTCATACGATGGACAACTTGCAGGGAGGGTGAGTGGCAGTATCGAGATCTAAAGATAACTAATTTATGATAGAGGATCTCAGTTTTTTTTAACTACTTTATTTAATTTTTCTTACGAAGTACTGTATGTAAAAAGAAAAGTACGTAGTTCTAGCTCATTTATCTGTTGAAATACAATTTAAAAACGTATACACATTGTACGGATATACCTTAAAAATCGAGCCTTAGGGCTGCGTTTGAGATTTTGTCTAAAATCAACGTTACCGTTTACGAGATCATATATACCTATTCTCAACTATTACAGATTTGAATATATATAAACCTTATACAAGTCCAACTTGTTTTAGCCATATCCGATTGCCATTGTAGCCGCCCCACTTCGTACCTCTGTGACTGAGGCTTATTAAAACTGCTTTCCATTGTTCAGTTGCACGCCTTGGGTCTGTCACTGCCCAGCGAAATCAAACCAGCAAAATTCCGAATTGCCGCAAAAGTCGGCGTTGACTCTGGCCATGCCCACCGTAATCTTGTGAGCTTCAACAAGCGCGAACCGGTTGACGCCGTATTATATTCTCAGTCTCCGTTTTTGAGCGTCGATTTTTCATAAAGCTAGCCCGTTCCCTGTCATGTTCAGCTTCTTTTGAGTTGTCCTGTAGAATCTCTCTTCCCTACAAAGGAAGGCTCTCCTCATAACAATGCTGCGGAGTTTACACTGCTTGACGCCACCTTCAATTTGCCTGTACAGCCAAAACCGCTCTATTTACTGAGAGACACCTCGTTTCGTGGCTACTAACAAAAGACCAAATCCGGTCCTGCGCGTTTTGTTTTGTTTTGTTTTTTTTTACATTGGTACGCTGGAGTTGGGAAAGGCGCACGAGGGACGCAGCTGGTACGATGACCCACGCATTGATTCGGTGCGGTTAACTGTGTCGGACAATTAGCAGCTGACTGCAGCATTTAGAATGAAAGTGCTCAATTGAAAATAGACTAAAGTCTAAACAATAGATCACAAACCTGTCGCCATTGAATGGTCAACAGGCCCGAAGCCCAGCTAAGAACAGAACGTTCAGCCTGACCCCTAGTATCCCGTGCCGGCTAAGTACGAATACGGGCTCATTCGCCCGGCATGCGTAAGCACTCGCCACCTCACGGAGCCTCTCCACTTTCGGCACTTATCCAGTGAGCCACGATTCACCCAATATTATCCTACAAGATCGGATAGCGATTCAAGATGCATGATATTCGAAGGACGGTAAGGCATTCTTGTTCCGTCTTTTGATAGGTAGATCCGTCTTTTATAGGCCAACGGAAATTCGAAATCGCTTTTATTGAACAGCTTTGCTATGGACAAACAGGCCAAAACGTTCCTCTCCGTGAGGAAATGTATTGAGTAGCTCGGGGCTTTGATTATTATATACTCACCCCGGTTAGCACGGTTACTCACAATCAATATATATTTAAGACCGTAAATGCTCATTTAGATTGGAAAAAAATATATGTAAGACATATACAATAATACGTAACTGTCAGTATAATAAGGATATTGAAACGGGGATTTGATTCATTAAATTTGCTCAAGTCAGTGTATGGCAGCGTAACGAACATTCTTTATCGAAGAAACAACTGCGTATGAATGTTTGTTCTCATCAAACAAAATTCACTAATTTACAAAAAAAAAAAAATAGAACCTGTTTGTTTTACAAGGAAGGCACTTAATCCGCTAAATATGAAATCCTTATAGCTGATCTTCTAAATAACTAGGTAAAGATGGGGTTAGGGTCGGTCATTGAACAAACACTATGGCTACACAATGATTTGTTTTCCTATACACACCGTTTTTATTGTACCGTATCCTATGGTTAAAAAAGGATGATTTGAAGTTCCTTCTCCCGTTGAATCTATGCAAATAGTCGACGTTCGATAAGTCACATTGCTGAATCTTTGAATAATAGGGACCTCTATTGCGCCTAAAGGTCTCGCCCTGAACCCGTATTTACTTATACATACAAGAGTCGTATAGATCTAGCTCATTTGGATTAACGAACACACAAAAATTGTATTGTTAATATTTGTGCTAGGCTAGACATTCTAAGATAATCTTCTTATTTGTCCATAGCAAAAGTAGCTTCAGACAGCATAACGTCGACAGTGCTCGACGGTAAAGCTCAGGGGTGCGCCGCGTTTGCTTATAGCTATATAGGCCAGAACGAAAAAGAAATCATCCGCTGGATGAATGCTCAGAAATGTATGCCTCAGTCTGTGTAAGCACGGATAAAATATGGAATAAGTGACATCTGGCTAAGACCTGGACATCGCAAGTGGTCATTCAAGGTAAATGGGTATCGATAAACAGAAATTTCCCAAGTGACAGATCGAAGAAATAGTAGGTAAAATCGCCTTTGAAGAGGAGCTGAAGTGTTTCTAACTTCTTGCGGAGGCATGACGAAAACTTCGCATACAATGAGGGTGCTAGCGAGGGCTGACTTAGTGATCATGAAATTTGTTTGATCATATAAGGATTAATAATGATAATAACCATTTAGCTCTATATACACGGCTAGCCGACTTGGCATATTGTGTCGAGCAATATGTGTGGCTCACATTTACAACAGTGGGATTGGTTTAATGCGAATTGGATTCATAATAAGCTGCTTTTGAATGATCGAGTCCAACTAGTGGACCACATGTCCCCCTAAATGATCGCCATATAAGCACCCTTTTCACTGCTTGCCACAGCATTGGCAGCCATACGCTACTGCTTCCGCGAATGCGTTTTCAATCTGGTGAACGGGCTCTGCCATCTGGCCTAATGTCCAGGACCAGACCTGTTACGATGGTCAGCCAGAACGATTTGGAGAATAAAACCGCTATAGGTTTTCAAGGAGCGCTTTACATGCAATACTATTCATATTGGCGTGTTTTGTTAAATGCGAAAAATTCAGAAAGATATAGTCGATACTCGTATAATTAGATATTACTATCACTATTAAGTTGTTAACTCGCGGCACATTCCGTCACCTGTATTTTGTCTCGCTAACGTTCACTTATTAATCAGTATTCAATTTAGTGTTCTCTCAGGATATTAGCTCAGTAGGCCATAATATCACCTTGAGCTGTTTCGAACTTCAAGGCGTCGAATTTGTTTATATATATATATATATATATATGCATACACACAAGTCAATACGCCAATCAAACAAACATGTAAACAAAAACCAGAGACCCTCCATAATATTTCAATCGTGACTCGCACTTATAGTATACTTAACATGAAAGAGGCAGTGTTTGAGGACGCGGGTCAACTCGCGACTAGTATTTTTCTTTTCTATTTTTTCTGTTGAGCCAATCTTCTTCTAAATTTAGGAAACGACCGTTCCAATATAAAGTCAATCTTCATCTCGCACAAGCGTGTCCTGAATGCAATTTACTATGTAGTTTATCCTTACAGCGCAGTGTTATAGTCGTCCTAAGCTTTAAGCGAAGCCCTTTAATGCCTCTGGATAGCAGTGTACCGAACAATGTTCTTGGAAATTCACGAACTTGTTTACCCGTGAAGTTAGCGGATTCGACCAAACTCAGTCAAGCTAGACAGAGCCATAGTTGGCGGAATGCAGTATCGTCTTAAGCAACAACACATAAGCCCGCAACGATTTTCCACATACATCTCGGAAAACATCTACTTGGCACTTCGACTAAGCACAGTTATCGCTAGTCGGGCTACAAACCCAAAAAGCACTGAAAAAAAATGTGGTAACTTACTGGAAGAATACGAATCCGTCGAGGACGCAGATAACGAGCGACTCCTATAGCGCCCACGGGATTTCATATTACCCGCCAACTTCGATTCCTGGAAATGACAAGAAACGCATGTTGGTCAATATCGATTAGTTTTTTACGTTTCTTTTTTTTATTACATACGATAATTTACTTACTAGTTAAATGAGTCCTAATAGAATGAGTGATTGCTGCATACAGAAATGCACCACATTTTCTAACTGGATTACAAATCAAACGGCCTTTTAGGATCCATACTTGTGTCAAGTCAAGGTACGTTGGACTCCGGCTCCATTTTCCTTATGTTCAACCATCACTTGCTAAATTTTCACCATGTTTCATCTTACTTGTTATCGTTACGTGAAATGTGTAGGTAGATATTGTATTTAAAAACTGATTAAAGCTCGGTGGCTTGGGCTGTTTTGCGCGGCAGGAAACACCTAACTGTAAAGGACAGAATTTCTAGGCCACAAGATCTGTACGGCTGTAGCAGGCATTTTTACATTGCAAAATTAGTGGGCCATATACTCATAAGCGAATACTTATTCCGCAGCAGTGAGTCCTGAAACTTACTATTGCAGAATGTAGCAAGTTGCATTAACGGCAAACTTCTAAGACGTTTCTCCCCTTTTCTTTTTCTAATTCATTATTTTTTCGAGCGTTTAGAATAGAACTTGGCCTATTACTACTATCAAATAGCAAGCTCGGTCACAGCGCGCGAACTTCTCTGGATTTCCCTTTTCGATCATTAAACCAGTGAGTCCATAAATCCAAGCGGGGGGGGGGGGGCACGTCGATTTAACCCTCGTTTAAATAAAACAGTGTCAATCTGCTTTTTGACCTACAAAACTATGCGATGCAGTATGGTGAATGCTTAAGGCACAATAGAATTTCAAAGCAATTACGCGCAGCATCTTCTATAAAAACTTCGACACCTTCTCGAAATAAAAATTGGCAACGTCTTCTCGAGTTTTTAGTTGTCAGTCCTAAGAATTGTCATCGAATCGACAAACAGAATAGGTACGATATATATGGGCCGCATACACTTATCTGTGTATAATTATATACGTATACACAATAGACCACTACACATTTACTATAGGTTTCGATACACCGTAATCATAGTATCAACTAATTGTAGCAGGCTCTTTTGATCTAACAGGTCCTGACATCTAGATCGAGTTGAGTTATCGTACTCGAACGGAACCCAAGGTTAACGCTCTTTATTCGAATCCATACGCTATGTAAGCTTTTACGTTTATCTATAACGCACACAACGCGCTTTAGTTTCAACATACCGTATCCGCTAATTTGTATGATATTGAAGCTCAACTCCCGACCTCTGCCTGGCTTACCAAGCTATTTACTTTTCATCGATACATATAAGCACAATGCGTTATAGATAGCTGTCTACTTATTCGTCTATTGAATATGGTATCCATGTAGAGCACTCTGGCGAGAGGAGTCGAGGTATCGACTGACCTATTCATTTATCGCTCATTCTCTCACCAGGCCTCATCTTTCGTATGTATACCGCAGAAAGTCAATTATATATGATAATGGACTGGAAGCCAGCAAGCTTTGCCCTGTTTAGCTCTCTTTAGCCAAAATGTGCTCCTCTTCGAGTAATCCGGAAGCTGTCTGCCTGGTCGCCCTTTATCTCCCCTTTCCAGCTAGGCAATCAGTTAGGGATCAACCACCCGGAACGGAAAACTATAGCAACAACAATACCCCCAGTAGCTCCAACTCTCGGACTGAATCACAATAGGTAACAATGGAAACAATTTGCTCGGCATCTGCATTGGCCGCCATGACACCAACAGCGTACTTACTACATTTCCTCGACTCGTATGCTTTCATCTATGTTAGTTGCACGCGTCCACCATTTTTCGAGTCGTTTGGCATTCAATTCAACCATTACTAATCCTAAATACGTTTTGTTCTTTACTCATTGATAGGGAATATCGGTCGACGGACAAAAATGCCCAAATCTGATATCCATTTCTCGGGGAAGCCTAACCTCCGAGGTTCGCACAAGGCGTCAGCCTAAAATCTACACGAATTAGAACGACTGTTAAGAGCTGAGAACCGTCAAACGAAAAAAACTTGTCAGATTTTTTCCGCCAACTTGACCAGCGAATAGGAACGGCGCTCCACCATCGAGCGTCTAAAGGACGGGAGCGACACACAGTGAGAACGAGGTCTGAAGACCGAGAACTGTAGCATCGTATAGATTTACAATACAACCTAATGTGTAAGAGGTTACTCTTTACAGCATGGTGGAATACCTAAAACAGTACGCCATAATCACGCAAAAAATAAGTTTTCAATGAAATCAGCAAAAACAGCATGTCGCTGTATGAACTAATTGAAAGAAACGAGTGAGATCGCATATGTATTAGTTAATTATAGAATAGAATTCGAATCTGCTTCTGTTACACTGCTAAAAAACCTTTTTAACCACAAAACCATTAAAAAGCTTCAAACTATTATCTCACTTCAGTCATATAAGTGATTGTCCGCGAAAGTTCATAACGTCTTTACCTCAGTTGTCCTTAGGCTAAGAGGTATTGTTAACGAAAGGTTAAGGATTGTTTCAATTCCAATTCCATTTTTCTATTTTCTTTTCGCTACTCTTTGAAAGGTACCGAACTTCCATTTCTCAGAAAATCGAGTCCAACACCCGCCAAGTTCGAATTCAGCGTGTTTCAAGCCAGAGAGGGGATAACGATTCGCTTAACCTGGAAACGTAAAACACTTTGCCTTGCTTAGACGATCTGCAAGAAAACAAGGTTGAAGATAGGAGACTGGAATAGAAGATCTTTGTTGGATAGAATCCCATTCATTGTGCATCTACGAACAGGACGTGAAGCTCGTTATCCTTAAACGTTACAGTAAAATAGCGGGTGAAGACCTATTACTATTGGTACTATAATTAGTAGTCTACATATGTTGATTATCTCAGGCAACGCGAAAGCCACAACAGTTACGCTACGTGATCACTACAACTGTGTACACGTATTTCACATAAAGACTGGCACCTTTATGGTTCAATCATACGTCGTTAACTCATCATTAATTTGCTTTATTCTCATACCTTTATGAAAACTTGTCGCACGAGTCTGAAACATCGCCTACGACCATTGTTGAGAACGTATACTCGTGAGGCTTCGGATCCTCATATGTTTCTCGCTGTTATCATAAAAACAGCGAGGCGAAAGAGTGAGGCAAACCGTCGCCATTGCTCTGCCGTCTCGCCGAATGCAGTTGGTGGAACTTAATTGCTTTATTACTTACCATCCTTATCCTATCAAGCGGAAAATTGCAGAATTAATTAACTGCATATTCTACATTTCGTATGGAATCCCTACAAGAAAGCTCCTACGATTATAGTCATTTGACTGAACAGAACCAAATGGCGCCAGTTAGGGCACCAGTGCCAACCCACTATACGAGCTGGAAACATCGCTTAAGCGAAGAAGGAAAATATTATCCTTCAGGTGTAAATTGGTTGCAGGCACCCCATGCTTAATAAGCTCTAACGTTGGAATGAGTTACACAGGGTAAATTATGCAGATGCCTCTCTTATGACTACGTCCGCACCATGTCCATTGCTCCTACAGCCTGAACATTATAGTCGATTTTTTAGAAGCCTACTAAAAATCCTGCATATTTATTTCTAAGGGTCCATATTATATGCGTTCATGAAACGCATCCATGAAACGATATGCGACGAATATTCCCAGTTGTACTATTGTTCAAGGTCACAGGATACTTCCTGAGGTTTATCCGGTTACGCAAGAAACCCTTGTGTCAAGCTAAACCCAGACAGCCAGCTGGAAGATTAGGGAGTGGACGGATGGCTGTTTTCACAGTGGAGACATTAGCTCACAATTGGCTCGATCCAACTAGGCAGACGTGATCTGTAATGGTCGATGATGAGGCGCCACAAGGGTTTCAGGGCGACGCTCGGGAGAAGGGCATCAACAAAATCAAAAAGATAGCTGAATTCTTATTTTTTGTTTTCTGTACCATAGCATTGCAACAGCGGGGCATTATTGATGGCTGGACACCGCTGGGTCGTCCACTTAATAACCGCATGCTGATCGAAACGGAACTGACCCATGATCGAAGACAACTGTCCTTTAAAAATGAGTGGCATTCCGCTCTCTCCAGTCATTAATATAAGTCCAGACGAGGTGAGTACTATAGAAGATACCGCCCACTACCTGTCATAATGGTACATAACTTATTTGACTTTGTTCAGGTGTATGTAAACAGGTATACAAAACAATTGTTTTGTTTGAGCAGATTGAACCGATGAACGGTTACGGTGAAGTACGCCGACCGGAAGCAGAAGAATAGCTATCTCATTAGTGAGCTGAGTCGACTTTTACTTCCAGATAGAAACAGGTCGGCGGATTTTTTTTTGTTGATTTAGGATACAGTTCTACATCTAGTATTATACAGCCGTGAGCACTGACAGAACAAGCAGAGCTACGATAAAAGCTTATTTACTTTAGAGCAAGGAACTTCAGGAAATCAAGGAGAACTTCCAAAAAGGAAGTATGCTCTTTTTTCTTAACATACACTTAGTAGCCACGCAAGGAATTTACTTTAGTTAGTATTTAGCTAAGTACGATTAGTAACTTGCACATTTGGTAAGCACTGCACAAAAGATCGTTGCAGTACCTGCCTTCAAATCGCTTTTCTCGTTCATGTTTTTTCAGTTTTACACGCCATGCATCGTAAATCGACACTGGTACCAAAATTATAATGTTAATTCATTTGTGGATTGATCATGTGCAGATCGTAACGAGAGCCCCCTTCCTTGAATAAGGGTTTTTTTTTCATTGTGTGCGTTAGGGTTCTTCATATTGGTCAGAAATCGAAGTCTGACTATTTGTCGTATACAATTTGATTAAGTGGGACGCGTGGCGCCACTCAGACGGCTCATACAATTTTAGGTGCTGATTCAGATTCGGAATCCTGTCAGCCGATAAAGGCTACTATTAGATATCGATATAATCTTGTCCTATGCCCAGGGGCGTTTAATGACCGATCATTCGACTC